CCAGAAGGATTCTCGCGAAGGGAAATTGGCCGCAAACTGGGAGGGACCTTACCGCGTCCAAGGAGCTACGGGAACTGGAGCAAAACAATATTAAAGCTAAGTCCCTCGCCTGCCGAGGACTTTTGCCGTCGAATTTTCATCTTCAGCCGAAGAAGGGAAAAACTCGACCACGTAGGAGCGTCGAGGTATGAACGCGGCCTACCAACTAACAAAAGGCAGGATGTCTCTCATTTTAACGATCAGCGTCCTAGCCCGACAGGGACACCTCGATCGAGCTCTGCTGTCGAAGTACTCCGACATGGAAGAACACCCAGCTCGCGGTGGGCAGTTCACGCCACGAGCGTAGGATCCTGACCGTGATCATACGCTCGTCCCGTGGATTCCCACTCCGCGTCCTCGACACAGTTCGACATGTGTCGAACTAATATTACGGTCGAGCACATATCTCCATACGGAAAACACGAACTTCGAGGAAAATTCATAACGACCACAACAATGGTCAAGTACGTATATCCACAGGATATACCAAGTATTCATTAAATAAGCGAAGTAAAAAAAACGAAAAACAAAAATAACGATAAACATAAAATAAAGCGAAATAATTGTCAAAGGCGACCACTTGGGTCGAAGATGTTTGAATATTACAAAAATTACGGGCACGCATGCCCAAATACAAATGAAAAAACAAAAATTTCAGTCACTCCCCAAAGTGCTAACTTCGACATCAGGAGAGTCAGGGGGAGGGACCACCCGACCATCAATAACCTGGGACAAAACCCTAGTTCCTTCAGTATTCAACCTCGGGTTCAGCACAGACGGTTGATTCACAACAGACTCAAAACCGTCGACCAGGGCATCAACACAGTCTGACTCCAAGAGTTGAATCCGAGCAATGAAATCAGCACGCGTGTGCAAGTCGGCCACCCCATCAGGCTCACCCTCCGCGGGCATCATAGCAACCCTCAGATCTGTAACCTCCCTTATTAGTCATTGGTTGTCATCCTCCAACTGCTCCTTATCAAGCTGGAGGCATTCTTTGTCTTTGAAGGCTTTGTCGACTCTCTCCTTCTCCCCCGCCAGCACATCGGACTGCTCACGAAACATCTGCTCGCTTTGTTCAAGAGTAGTTTTAAACTTGCGGGTTTTTGTCAGAAGAGTTACCTTCTCCGACTCCAGTTCCTTGACCCGATCCGAGGAGTCTAACCCTTCGCCCGCCAGGACAACCGCCATCTCTTCCATCTTCACCACACTGACCATGCTGGCAGTAAGGTGCTTCCTTCGACCTTCCTTGTCGAGCCGCCTGATGATGTCGGCTTTGTTGTCGAACACAGTCAAGGGAAACCCTTCAAAGAATTCTTTTTCCACGAAACAGGGCGGTAGGCTAAAGGCTCGGACACCCTCCCCTCCGTCAGTTACATCAGCGTGTCCACCTTCTGATCGACTATGCTTTTTTCTCAACAACACAACTTGGTGCTCTACGTCATGAGAACCCGAGGACCCACTAGATCCTTCCCTGACAGGCTCGGGGGTTGGACCTATACGCGTAGCTTGCTGCAGTTTCACTAGCCTTTTATTGCTCTTCTTCTCTTGGGTCAACTTCAGCAATCTCTCGCGTCGTTCCGCCATGTGACCTGCAAAAAACAAAGAAAATGTGCCCAGGTCAGCTACACCGAAGAAAGAAAAGAGGGATATCAATATAGTAAAGGTAAGAAAGAAACCTAAGAGATCTACGACCTGCCCATAAGATTGACACTCGACGAGCGCCTTGGTATTTATTGGACGTGTCTCGAACGTTGGCTTGCCGTCCTTATCAAGGACATCGTGTCCTTCCCTCGTAACCCACCTAGCGGGGAAGAAACCGTCGACGAATTGATTTAGGACGCCATATGCCTCTTCGTCCTCAACGCTCATACCGCTGGCGGAAGTGTGGTAATACCCGAGACCATGGTCGTAGTGGGCCGAGCACAGTGGATGGGAAACTTTGAGATTCTCCCCATCTCAAGATTACCCTCGGCGTCCAAACACGGCTCCCCATCCTCGTCCACCACGGTAGCTTGGTCGAACAGTGAATCCACGACTGTTTAGGTAGATGGTTGTAAGATATACCACTTGTCCTTAAAGTCCTGGACATAATCCATGTACATCCTAAACAGCCTCTTCGACTGTTTAAGGGATACCCAGCTATGTTTCCCTCCTCGGGACTATCGTCGCAAGTGAAAAACCATGAAGAACAAGGGAATCGTCGCCCCGATCCTCAGGAACCGACATGTAAGTTCGAATTCCCAGATAAAGGCAATTGCGTTGGGATGAAGTTGGGAGGGCGCCAAGTTCAAATGATTGAACACCCCCATCTGGAAGTCGTTAAAAAGAAGCCGGAGTCCAAGGTGTTTGAACATAATCTCATACATGGGGAAGGCATCCTGAGTGAACTCCGAGCATATGCGAGTGTCTTGTGTCGTCTCATGATTTTGAAATTTCTTTGAAAACCCTCCTGGCCGCCGCCATACTCGACGACCGTATAGGCTTGCCTCCTAGTGTAACTGTAGATTGAGACTATCCCCCGGGGTTTCGCACCAACCCAATCCAGAGTAGGATCATCAACGGTGTCGACCAGATTAACGCTCTCCTCGGTCGCGTTGGTTCCCTCGATGTCCATATGCTCCGATGACTCGGGAGTGTCGGCCATTTACCTGCAAAGTACAGGAAATCGGTGAATTCGACATCAAATCCACCTTTCTGCGACACAGATGAGGAGGTTAAGCAACGCCCAGACCAAGTTGACGGCCATTCACATAAAAAGGGGAAACACGCGGACCTCGATCAAGCAGCAATCCTAACGATGAACGCCTATGTCTATCATGAATATACCGGGCACAGGAAGAATATGACGAGCAGACTATGAATCTCACGACCAAGTTAATAAATTTGTTAGCCAGACATAAGGAGATCACGGGGAAAACTAGCCTAAATACTGACGAAAGAATGAATCTCACGGCCAAGTTCATAAATTTATTAGTTAAACGCATGAATGTCACGGGGATAATCATAAATTATATGCCTAAACGCATGAACGTCACGGGCATGATCATAAATCAAACGCCTAAACGCTTGAATTCCCCGAGCGTAACCCCTAGACACAAAACCCTACTACTAAACATCATCAAAATCTATCTACACACATGATATCAAGGAAAAAGAACGCTTACTTGAAGAAAAGACGAAGAGAGATGGTTGTTAAGGAAGGATACGCGACAAAATATGCGGCGGTCTCAAGGATTATGGAAAAAACGCACGGTGTTGACGGAAGAGAAAGTGGAGAGCGCGAAAATATGAAAGTAAGTTATGAGCCCTGGAGCCCTATTTATAGAGCTGACGTAGAATGTGAAACGTCGCGTCGGGCAGTCACAAGCCGCCTTTCTCCTTGACACCTACATGTACAGGAAATGATGGCCCCTACTCCCTAGGTCATCATTACTGTTCCCAAGAGCCATGCTACGTGTATGACAAGCGTATCATCTTCTCCCCGCGAGTCCTCCTCGAACTCGCTCCGACCGCTGACGGAAGAAAAATCATGAACCGATGACATTCTCCATCCACGGTAGAAAACTCCATGTCGAGCATAGAACCTCGCGAAAGTACAAACTTGAATCAAGTCATGACTCCTTCACCAGGAGCAACGACTTGGGGGCTCCTGTTCTGGATTGGGCCTGACCTTGGCCCAACTCCCAGCGAGGCCCAATCCAAGTGTGCCGGCCTGCACTAGTGACTGGTACTACCCTCAAATACAGGGGGAAACTTCTAACCTTTTCCCACGAGGAGACAATCTCACCACGCAGGGACAATGCCCGAATAGACTGAGGACACTCACGCCCCGACCATGAAGGCTTCGAGGATACCTCAACTAGCCCGTCGACTAATACTAACCCCCTATCGAGCTCATGTCTGGCGGGGATCACCCACGACGAGCGGACGCTCCTCCCGAGCATCTTCCTTGTAGGGCTGACTACCAACGTCTCCGGATATTACAGAGTCTTCGTGGTCCCAAGAAGATCGCATCCATATCCTCCTGACCTTGCAGAGGACGTCATCCAAGTAGGGGACCATGTACGGGTCCCTACTACTCACGTAAAACCTACAGTCTCTAAGTTGGGCCTGCTTGATCAACCAAATAAAGAGACCTTGACCCAGCGTCGGGGGCTATAAATACCCTCTCTTTCGAGAGGGTCAGGTATTCAACACTTTCTAAACTCACACTTGTTTGCTCATTCCCAAACTCATTTTGGCATCGAAGTGTCTTGTGGGTACCCCCCACTTCACTTTCAACATATGCTCGAGCCAGCTGCGACGGTCCATTCGGATCAAGTACGATCAGTTAGTAAGAATTAATAACATAATACAATTTAGTTTGGAATGGTTCGGTTTACAAAATACAAACCGCAAACCAAACCGAACCGCGCAGTTCTGTTAGAAAATGACCCAAACACATTCGAACCAAATACAATTTTTTACGATTTTGATTTGATTCAGTTTTACGATTTTCTATTGAATCGATTTAGTTTTGAACACTCCTACAATAAAAAGAGGATAAAAGTAAGTTTTTGTTGCCCTTTATAATGAGAATCATGCCTTTCTCATTCTCATCACATGAAACGCCTCTCCTTTAACATTTCTTTTGGGTAAACAAAAGCGCTTTAAGTTAGATTGTGTTTTTAGAAATGAAAAAGTTTTTCATAAAAAAGTAAAAAAAACAATGAAAAAGTGTTAAGTATTTTTATTTATTTTTTGAAAATATTAATAATTAAAACTAAAAAAGAAAGAAAGAACAGAATAGCACAAAAAAGTAGGCTAATATAATGACCGTTACAATTCGCATAACAGAGAAAAATAAAACCGACCGTTACCACTATCATCATCATTCATTCCTCACTTTCACTTCATGTTTATGTTTCTGTCTCTTTCTCTTTCACAACAACGTTAGAAATTTAGGATTAGACAGAAAAATGGTTGCCAAAACCCCACTCACACAAAATAATAATAATAATATGTTACCTGTTTTTAATCCAGTTTTAATCAGAGAAACATTAAACAAGGTATTTAACCTAAATACATGATTAATTAATATTAATTACATTTTTACGATTCTCCGAATGTGAATTATTATGATTGTTTTGAAGGTGGATCGTTGCATGAATCGGCTACAAGAACTTCAGTTCACTGTTTCTGGAATCAATCTAAGCCCTCGCAGTACCAGAAATTATCTCAGAACAAGTTTAAGGTGCAAGCAAGAATCTATTAGGTAAATTGATTATTATTATTATTGTTATTGTTATTATTATTATTGATAATTGTTATTAATAATTGTTTTGTATAATATAAACTCAATTTTTCTGTTATGTTGTTATTTTGAAGGATTAAGAATAATGCACAAAAAACATCTCCAATGGGGAAGTTTTCAAAATCAGATAATTTAGGAGGTATGATATAGCTTTGATTCATTTAATTGCCTCAAAATGGTTCTGGTCACGGCCGCGATCTTGATGTTGCGGTGAATTGTGTTTTATGCGGCCGCAATTGCAATTGCGTTGCGACCGCAGAAACATAAAACCTTGATCTGACACTCAAGATTGTGGCCCTGGCCGGACCAATTTACTCAGCCACATAACATCATGCATCTTGACTTGACATTTAGCATGTTTCATTTCTTAAAATCTTGTTCAATTCTCAATTCATTCATGTTCTTTCTCGACGCAGGTGAATGGAGGAAAATGTCATTGGCTGCAATGCTTGTTGGTGAAACTGTTGTAGAAATTTTACAGGCAAGCCAGTTTGCTAGACAAATGGTTTCTTCAGTTGGCACAAAACTCGCCACCGACGGTCCAAAAACTCCGTTATCTCGACCCTCACACCAGAAATCAGACTCTGAAAACACAGAATTCAGAGATAAAAGAAGGAAGGAGAAGGAAAATAAACAACAGTCCGATTCACCACCTTTACAACCTCGTCGTGCGCGTTCGAGAATCAACTTCGAAGTCTCTCACCCGAAAAAAGTAAGAGACTTTGATGAAAAGAAAGAGGATATTAATATTAAGCATCAGCAAGAATTCTGCAAGACAAAATCATCTGTCATGTCAACAACTCCGCACAAGTTTCGCATCAAATCACCGTATAAGTTTATGACTGCATCGCCAAATAGATTAACAACAAAAACAGCACCCAAGTTTCGGATAAAATCACCTCATGTGTTTGTGGACGAATCACGAAATAGAGTAACAAAAACACAGCACAAGTTTCTGATCAAATCACCAAGTACAACACCACACAAGTTTCGGATTGAATCACCACATAAGTTTCAGATGAAAACACCTGCTACAAGATTGAACTATCCAAAGAGAAGTGATGCTGCACCGATATCAAGTCGAACTATCTCTCCTTCTAGATTGGCTGCACCAACAAAGAGCAAGAAAAGTAATGCATCCCTGTGTTTGAAGAGCAAGAAAAATGATGGTTTAGCTAGTGGATTGAAACAGCGGCCACCAACAACAATGCACTTGCCTGCTCCAAGATGATTTTAAGAACATACTATGATACATTTTCAATTTTTTTTTCCATAACAAATTGTCAAGCTCCTTAAGAAATTCTATACTGTGTCTATACTATACCATACCAAACATTTTTTTTGTTTTTCATGTCAATGCAGAATTTGACCATATTCATATACTGGGAATTTCATGTGCCATATGAGAAGATGGTTTTTTTTTTAACATAGTATAAAAAAATTGGTTGACTCAATGAGGTATTTACAACAATAAAAATTATCATGTAACTTTGTTATTACATTTTGTTTACTCATTTAATTGACTAGTCTTGTCTATTTGTGTGTTATGATTTATTTCTATTCAGCAAAAATTAATAGAAGTTCTTTTGAATTTATTTTAAATTTTTAGAATAATAGTAATGGTCGGTGTTAGATTATGCTAAGTTTAAATCACTAGGTCTAAGTGGCATCAAAAGAAAGAGACATAAAAAATAGCTTTGAACTTTCTTAATTCAATTCAAGACAAGCTTACACTTTAAATAGTTAGGGTTGTCACCCTTACTAATGGGCCATGGGCCAAACAGAACAGTACAACTAATAAAATAAAAGAACTTTTACTAACAACACCCTTAAATTAATAATAAAAATCTTTAAAATGACTTGGAATTATCTTCTCTCTAATGGGCCTGATTAGCTTCTTAACAATACTCCCTGGCCCAATAGGAACCTTGTCCTCAAGGTTCACATGTGGATTTGGTGGTGTGATAATTGGGCCGCTGGTGAGATGAGGCCCAAAGGAAACTGAATTGATGGGAGAACACATGGGCGGTGGAGGAACGTTGGAAAGTGGGGCAGGTGGCTGAAGCGGTGCATGCGTGAGGACAGGTGGGGCACAGCTGTTCTGCATGCGTGGGAAACTGCGCGGAGGGAACACCTCATGAATGCGTGGCAGAGAGGTAACGTTGGGAAATTGTGTTTCATTATTCTTTCTCTCTCTCAAACACAACTTCTTACTCTCTTCCTTCTCTCTAACGAGTACTCTCTCATCTTCCTCATGTACTTGTTCATTCACATGCTTACCAAGAACATCTTCTTCCTGTACTTCGGTGATACGCTTTCCCAGTTGGTTTTTCAGATCTAGAGAGGTAACCACGACCGCTTGGCCTTTATTTGTCTTTGCATGTTCCGGTTTCAGTGCATCTAACATCTTTGTTGTATCTTGCAGCATAGCGGAGGTGGAAGGGGTTGACAAAGCTCTTTCAAACGGAAGTGAGAACCCTGGTGGAAAAGATGATGAAATCTGTTTTGTGGTTCCTTCAAAGTAAGGCCGTAGTAGAGAGATGTGGACAACAGGGTGTATGCGAGATGTGGAAGGCAGATCCAACATGTAAGCCACGGCGCCTATTTTTTTAATGATCGAGAAGGGACCAAAATAGCGAGGGCTTAGCTTCTGTGAGGTCCGGCGATGAACGGTGGTTTGGCGATACGGTTGAAGCTTGAGGAGGGCGCGATCACCCACATTAAAGGTATAGTCTTTTCTCTTCAAGTTTGCTTGTTTCTCCATCTGGATTCGGCTTTTCCTTAAGTTCTCATTTAAGGTTGCTAAGATCTGCTGCCTTTCTTGCAAGGTGTGGTCAAGTGTCTGTTCGTGGGTGGAACCTGAGATATAGTCTGTGAGATTCGGAGGCTCGCGGCCATACAGAGCCTTAAAAGGCGACATTTGAATGGCGGAATGGTAGGACGTGTTGTACCAATACTCAGCGAGGTGGAGGAATTTGTACCACCGACGTGGTTCGGAACTGACAAAACATCGCAAGTACGTTTCTAGTGAGCGATTCAAAACTTCTGTTTGTCCGTCTGTTTCTGGATGATAAGATGTACTATATTTTAATTGTGTTCCATTGATTTTGAAGTATTCCTTCCAAAAGGTACTGAGGAACAAGGGATCTCTATCGGAGACGATGGATTTCGGATGGCCATGTAGCCGTGCAATCTCAACAGAAAAACGGAGGGCGAGGTCCTTGGCAGTGAAATGAGTAGGCATTGCAATGAAGTGTGCGGACTTGGAAAAACGATCGCAAAGGACCCAGATGGTCGTGTGGCCGAATGAGTTGGGCAAACTGGTTATAAAATCCATGGATATGTCCTCCCAGACTCTTTCAGGTATTGGTAGTGGTTGTAGCAACCCAGGTTTCCTTTGTGTAAGATATTTGGTTTGTTGACAAATATTACAGTGTTTGACCATATCTTTTACATCTTTGTAAATTCCAGGCCAACAAAAAGAGGTGGAAAGTCTTGCCAAAGTCCCCCTGACTCCCGAGTGGCCGCTAGATGGGGTGGAGTGAGACTCCAGAAGTATTCGGATTCGCAAGTTGGCTATGTCAGGTAAAAACAAACGTCCCTTGTATTGTAGAAACCCCTTAGAATAATTATAGAATCTTTGGTCAGTCGCGTCCTCAAGTAACTTGCTAACTAATTGTTTTCCTGCTTCTGTGGTATAAAATTCACGCAAAATGGACAAAAGGGTTGGAACAGCGGATGAGAAAGACAAACAAACCGGTGGATCCGAGGAATACTTCCGACTCAGAGCATCAGCCACAACATTTGTCTTGCCAGGTTTGTAAAATATTTCGAAGTTAAAACCTTGTAACTTTGCAGCCCACTTCTGTTGCTCAGGAGTTTGAATTTTCTGTAGTAATAGGTTGCGTAGGCTCTTTTGGTCTGTATGTATGTGAAACTGTTGACCAATTAAGTACTGACGCCACTTTTTAACTGCCTCTGTTACAGCAAACATCTCTCGAACGTAAACCGATGCCGCCTGCATTCGCGGGCACATTTTCTTGCTGAAGAAAGCAATAGGATGGCCCTCCTGAGACAAGACCGCACCAATGGCAACTCCGGAAGCATCTGTTTCAATTAGAAATTTTTTTGTAAAGTCAGGTAAAGTTAAGACCGGTATGTCGGTCATTCTGTGTTGTAATTCTGTAAAGGCACTGGCTGCCGCTGAACTCCAAACAAAAATAGTGGAACGAAGTAAATCGGTGAGGGGAGCGGCGAGTGAGGCATAGTGACGAACAAACCTACGATAGAATCCTGTTAAGCCCAGAAATCCGCGTAGTGCCGTGAGAGAACGAGGCGGAGGCCAATCCAAGATGGCCTTAACCTTCTCCGGATCAGGGGCAACTGTCCCCTTAGAAATCACATGGCCCAAATAATGAACTTTATCCACTGCAAAGACGCATTTAGATAGCTTAACAACAAACTGGTTAGACTGCAATAGGTTAAAAATAACCTGCAAATGATTAAGATGTTCAGTAAAATTGGAACTAAAAATGAGAATATCATCAAAGAATACTAAAACAAACTTTCGCAAATAGGGTCGCAAAAGATCATTCATAGCTGATTGAAAAGTAGAAGGAGCATTTGTCAAACCAAAAGGCATGACTAAAAATTCATAATGACCATCGAAAGTTCTAAAAGCTGTTTTATGTGTATCCTCCGATGCCACTCTGATCTGATGATAACCAGAGCGTAAATCTAACTTGGTAAAAACTTTAGCAGATCCTAATTCGTCTAGTAATTCATCAATTGTGGGAATGGGGAAACGGTCTTTGATAGTAACAGCGTTAAGTGCCCGATAGTCCACACAAAAACGCCAAGAACCATCCTTCTTTTTGACTAATAAAACTGGGGACGAGAAAGGGCTATGGCTAGGAACAATTAAGCCGTCTTTTAACATATCATCAATAATTTCTGTCATGGCTGTCTTTTGGGAATGAGGGTAACGGTAAGGCTTAACATTGATCGGAGGTGTGTTAGGTAAGAGGTTTATGTGGTGATCATGGGGTCTAGGTGGTGGGAAACCAGTATGTGGCTGAAAAATTGGTTGGTATGCTTGAAGTAAATTGGTGAGCTGAGGATTTAAATGGGGATGAAAGGCTGGTAATGTTAAAGTTTCATTTGGACAATTTGGTTCATTTGTGGATTTAGGTTGAAGGAATAGAAGGTGCAAGGAAGCGATAGAATGGGTATGGATAAGGTGGGTTAGTTGGTGGAAGGAAGTAGGGGTAGGGCTAGATGAAGAATCTCCCTGTAGGGTAATGGGAGTATCATAATAATTGAAAGTGATAGAGGGAATGGAAAAATCAGCTTGAATAGTACCCAGGGTTCTAAGCCAGGCCATGCCCAAAACGACATCAGCACCTTCGATAGGTAGTAAATAGAATGGGAGGGTAAAGGGTTTGTTTTGAAGGGAAATCTTAACAGCGTTGCAAATGCCTTCACATTGCAAATGGGAACCATTTCCCACCATGACTGAAAATTGTGGAATAGGGGTAGTTGGAAGGTTTAGGTGATGGGCAATTCGAGGTTGCAAAATATTATGTGTGCTGCCGGTATCTACCAATACCATAACTGCCAATCCACCAATGTACCCTTTAAATTTCAAGGTTTGGGGTGAAAATTGACCGGTTAAAGCTTGAGTTGACAATTGAAAATAAGTGTTATCTTGATCTGTTGTGAACTCAGAATCAGCTGGGTGAGCATTCTCACTTGGTTGTGTTGGCAAATCCTCATCTGCCAAAAGTGTAAGAAAACGGCCTGAAACACATTTATGACCCGGAATAAACTTCTCATCACAATTAAAACATAGGCCTTGTGCGCGCCGCTGCTGTATTTGAGCACTTGATAGCCGGCGAATTGGGAGTTTCGGTGGTTGGGTTGTGGTGGGACGCTGGGAGGTTGCAATTGGGGTAGTGTTTGATGGTACAAAACTGGTGGGTTTGGGTGTTGGGTAGGTGCCAAACAGTTTAGAATATTTTGGTTTGCTCTCTTTTATTTTGGACTCAATTAGCTTAGCCATTCCAATAGCTTGGGAAATAGAAATAGGTTTGTGAATAGCTAACTCATTTTGAATCTCCGTTGCCAAACCCGAAATGAAACAATTAAGAATAGCCTCTTGTGATAAACCAATGACTTGGTTGCCTAACTTTTCAAACTTGGTTTGGTATTCTACTACTGTTCCGTCCTGTT